TAAGCAGAAGGGTACCACTAAAAGACATCCCAACCATGAAGTACAGCTTGATTTGCTTTGTCCTCAAGAAACCTGCCAAGATCTTCATGCTAAAAGTGGTGCTCATTTATCTTGCTTTGATGTTCCTGACAGAATCACTGGTAGGGCAGGACTGAAGGAATTAGAAGCCATTAACCCTTCAAGAACCTGGAACTTTGTGGAAATTAATGTTACACTAGAGGAATTGACAAAGATGAGGAAACAGCACATTAATCACTTAATCTATCCACTGGACACAGTCTTGGATGACAGCATTGGCTGTGCAGTCTGGTTTGCTTCCAGAGGGGAGGGTTTTATTAGTAGCCAAGGAGAACTGAAACCATATAAAAGTCCTGCAAAGGTACTGATTTTTTGTTTGTTTATTTTCTGTCTTATGTTTGTAAAACATAAGTTATGACTTACAAATGTAAAAACAGTTCTGTTGATTCAGAAATCAGGTGGTATCTTTGCTATTCATAAGGTTTCTGAAATTCAGTGACAGAATGTAGAATAGTTCTGTAATTATAATCTTTTTGTAATTCTAGAGTTAAAAACTGCATTCAGTTCTTTTGTCATGTGATGTGGATGGCTTTCCAGAGAACTTGGATAAGCAACAACATGACTAGGAAAAAAATAATAACCATCATCTATAATTTTCAGTGTTTCAGTTCCAATAGTGGGTAACAGCTATTCAGTCCAAACTGTGTTAACAAATTTAGAGATAAATGTTAGTGAATTATTAAGTAATATTGTTTTGTGCCAGCATCCCACCACTTGTCAAAACATCTTCTTATTTAGGCATGCTATTGATGTGATAAAATAGCAAATAGCATGGGCAGAAAAGATCTTGGCATCTTTTGTCATTAGAGTCTGAATGACAGAAATACAAAAACTAGCTCTTTCCTTTTTGTAACTTATCTGCATGTATGTAGTATGAAGTAAAATATTTTTGGTAACTAGGTGATTTTCTGGGGAATTTGATTCTGATTTCTCACTTCCCTATTTCTGATGATTTTCGGAGGGAAGAATGAACTGTTTAATTTCAGGAATTTACAAGCCAACCACCACCTCTGCTTTTTGAGGCTCCTGTTACTTTTCTAATAATTGCTAGATGCTAAACCCATAAGAAATCCACCAACAACAGAAACCCAAACAAACGCAATAGTTTGCTTAAAAACTACTACTGTAGAACACAGCTGATACAGTTGGCAGATCTACTTAAGGATGTGCATCTCAGATTTGCAAAACATACAAATTCATCCTAGGTCCAGAATATGTTGAAATGGGTTAATAAAACATAAAGCAAAAGTGTCATTTTCCCATCAGTTATGTACTGCTGTGTTGGTAAAAATTTAGTTGACCCAGATTAGTAAAACACACTTGACTGTTTGTTAAAAGACTTCCACTTTTATAGTGAATTGCTGTTGAAGGCACAGCAATGGGCCAGATGTGGTAGTTGTTTTTGTACTTACTGAGGAGACAGAACATTATGAGCCATTTTTGTTTAGTGCAATGCAATGTACTAACCCAGTATCTGGTAAATTAATCTGGGTGTACATTCAGATAACTATTTAGAATATATGACATGATCTTTGGAAACAAATGTTTTTTATAAAGGCTGGTGTTTAACAAATGCTGTTTATTGTAATAGAAACTAACAAAGACATTCTTCAAAGATACTGGTGTGTTTGTGGTGCATAGGATGTTATTTTGATGTTTTTTCCTTGGATCAGTAGAAATGTTTGTGTGTACTTTTAGGTCTGATTGTGAGCCTATTGCAAGTTTCCAGTGATTTTTATTGGAAATTGTTTCAGACTTTGTAAATGTGTAAGGCAGGTCCCATTGTGATAAGTAATACCTTCAGAGGATGTGCATTAAAATGAATATCCTTAAGATGTAGTTAAACATTTAAGATTGTTACATATTAACTTGCCCAGACGCTAAGATTTGTTGTATCCTGTTTCCTTAGGTAGTGCTTACAGGAATTGGAGCAGATGAACAGCTTGCTGGGTACTCTCGACATCGTGTTTGCTTCAAGAAATACGGCTTAGAGGGTCTGAATAAAGAACTTGAAATGGAGTTGGGTCGCATTTCTTCCAGAAATCTGGGTAGAGATGACAGGATTATCGGTGATCACGGAAAAGAAGCCAGGTATTATTGTTCTAACATGAAGCAAAACTGGTTTTGCAGGTTAGATGCAGTTTCCAACACTCCAACAAAAAGCTTAATTGAAACTTCTGTGTGTTTTATTCTCTAGTTCTGTTGCAATTTTGCTAACATGGTGTATTGTGTTGTGGAGTTTTTTGGTTTTGTTTTTAAAAAGGCAGCCTGTAGTACTGTGGAAGGGTTTCTTAAGGAAATTTAGTAACTTGACTTCCATCCAGAAGTTTTAAGAAGCAGCAAAAGATTAAACAGGAGAAATCAAGTACGGTTTATCATTTTAAGTGGAAGAGTCTTGTGCACAACTTTGAGGTGTTCTTGTGTGGTCATTTAGGGATTGATTTTGGAGAATGACAACATAATGTAAAAGCTGGGTATTCTTGTCCATGCCATGACAATATCCACTGCGTTTCCTGGTGTTAAGTCTGAATAGTTAAAAAATCCTTTTATTTGTGTTTACTTCCTCCATGCTACCACAAACTTGCAAAAAATTCCCTAGTTGTTGTCCAGTAGCAGAGGCCACTTGGGTGCATGAAAGGTTTTTTCCTGTGATCTTAGTGCCAGTGTTTTTCCAAATCTGTTCTTAGTTGCACATTTTCAGTGTAGCACAAGAGCAGTTGCAGTGGTGGACAGGCAATGCTGTTAATCATGCATGGGATTAGGTATGAATGCCTGGAATTCAGAATGGTGTCAGAATTTGTTGTGTAAATATTTTTGTTTTGAAGTTACAGTGTAGCTTCACACAGTAGTTTTAAATACTTAGGAGTTATTTTGAGAAGTGTTACTTAAAGATTTGTCTTGCCCTTCCGTTGTAGTTTCTGATGTTCTTCATGATTTTTCTTCTGTATAAGCACACCATTTCTGATCCTTGTTTTTACTGTTCTCTTTGGTTGACTTTTGAAAACTTCCAGGCTTCTGAGTGTAAAATGATATATTATGAGGTTTCTTTCTCCAGGACAGTTTAACTGCTCTGGAGAACTGTCTCAGTACTGTTATACTAAGATTTAAGGTACATCTATAGTTAGGAATTGATACAGACTCTGAAATCTTTGCAGGTGGTAAAAGGGAAACCCAAAACCACTCGTATGAAATTTTTAAAGGGTCTTTCCCTATCTTTCTTTCAGGTTTCCTTTTCTTGATGAAGATGTTGTTTCATTCCTCAATTCTCTGCCTGTCTCAGAAAAAGCTGACTTGACTCTACCTCGAGGAATCGGTGAGAAGCTGCTCCTGCGCCTTGCAGCCAAGGAGTTGGGCCTCACAGCCTCCACTGTTCTGCCAAAAAGGGCCCTACAGTTTGGATCTCGGATTGCAAAACTGGAGAGCCACAGGGAAAAAGCATCTGACACGTGCAGCAGGCTGAAGTTATTTTCAGTAGGTGAATTATAGAACTACATCTTGAGATATATCTAGTCTATTTGCAAATGTAGTAAATCTTTGGAGTTTTCTTAGGATGTTTGGTCTGGTTTTTTTATGCACTTGGACATTATTATTATTAATCATCAAGCTAATACATGTAGATGTGTACTTTTACTAGAGACTCACTATGAATTCACTCCTGGAGGTGAATTCACCCCTGGAGGTGAATTCCTCTTTGGGGAAGAGGAAATAGCCAGAAGTTGGCTTTCCCACCCTTCCAGTGTTGCCAAAATGTTGAGTCCGTCCAATTTGTCACATATATTGAATTCAGTACATTGCTTCGTGGCAGAACAGGGCTGGTCCTGCAGCTGTGCTTTAGAAGAAGGTTTGGGTTATGGTTGTGGAAGGGAGGGCATGGTGAGGAGCTGGCCTGGGTTGCCAGAACCAAAAAGAGCTGAGGGTCTGGGGTCTTGTCAGCTCTTGGGAGATCTGCTCTCCAGGCATCATCAGACATCAGAAAACAGACATCACACACATCCCCTGGGTGTTTTGGGGCCATCCTGTACAACCTCCCAGAACTGTGGCCAGTTCTGCAGGGATGGGTTGTTGGCAGTCCCCAGCCCGGGGCTCCCTATGTTCCCAGAGAAACTGGGAAGTTCCCTCCAGGTTCTTCTTAGTCCATTGTTGACTCCCTAGCTTGCTCTGTCTCTTTTTAGCTTTAGCTCTGCCACTTTTGCTTTTGATTGTGTCCTTCAATGAAGATCTCTTTTAAACAAATCAAAAAAAGGTCCCCCTTGAAAAAAAAAAAAGGCACTCTGGGTGGGTATGTGGATGTAATCATGGGGTTGAAATAGCAATATGAATGGACTGCCTCTGAAGAAAAGCTCGAGTTAGCTTGTCTTTCTAATTGTGTATGGAAGGATTGCATTGTGATTAGCTTTACTGAACTTCTCTATTTAAAAAAAAGAAGAGAAATCTAAAAGGCACTATCTCTATACTCCGAAGTTTTAATTTTGTGTAAGAAAGAACAGGCTTCTTACACCAGCAGCAGAAAATTAGGTACTGCTGAAATTCAGTTGCACTGGCACAGCAAACACATTGAGATCTGTTTGAAGATCTGTGCAGTCAACTGTTCTTTGCAACCATGGAAGTGAGGATTTTTTTAACATGTAGTGTCAATTATAAACTTTATATGAATTATATATTATATTGATAAGTTATCATATATATTATAAATATATGAATTTATTATCAGTTATGAAGTGTAAACAATGGAGGTATTTTCATTTGTGTAAGTTCCTATTTATTAGAAAGTGCACTTTTAATTTTTTTTTCAGTTGTTTTAATACCAAGAACGCTTAGTTGTGGAATAGTAACTGGAATCACTTTGGTGATAGGACACAGCATTTGTTTCTCTGACAGGTGATTTTCAACACTGGTAAGCAAAGTACTGTCAGTAAACATAACAGCATTGAAACAGTTTTTATTGAACAATTTATATTTGCATTTACTAAGTTACTTTTTAAGATGCCAACCATCGTATCTGTTTTAATTTTGGCACCTTGATGGAATCTTCTTCAACTCTTTTGGAAATATCAATTCCAAGGGGAGCTCTAGAAAATAAAATTATGTAACTGTTAAAAATAACATCATTGCCATATCACACAGATGTACAGCTTCACAGACCCTTTTTACAATTACAGTATTTCTGCACGTTCCCTGCACCATTAAAATGGTCTGTCTGAAGCTGTACTTAGAAACATCTTTACACTGAAGAAATATTTGCATTTCTAGCGATGCCAAACTTGGGAAACACAGTTGTGGTTTCAAAGCCATCTTTTGGGGATGGGGATGTTGTTAGATTCTGATTTTAGTTGCTTTGCAACTAAACTGCATTTACATGCAACTGATGAATGCAAGATGCACTAGAGATCTACAGGCATCTCTTTATATGATAATCTTACATAATGTATTTTCTACAGCAAGTGAAACTTAGTATTTTATTCACTGATATGTATACAGCAAGTTATTTTTGAAGAAGAGTATCTTATAATTTTTCATGTGAAAATTATAATACTTTTTTTTTTTTTTTATTGAGACCGTCCAAGTCTGTTTTCCTGAAAATGTAAAGGGAAAAAAAAACTGAAAAAAAGCCCAAGTTTAAGACCAGCTGGTACTTTTGAAATATTAGAATTTTGTTTGGCCTTAAGTATAAGATCTATTTAAATCCATAGAGCAAGCATTACCTAACTAGTCGTTAAAAAAATCAGTATTATCAGTTAAAAAAAAAAAGTATTATCAGATGATATATGTTAAATTCTTTTTTTTAATTGATTGCTCATTATGAATACACAGTTGGACTTGGAGCATGTGGACTTATGCCTGTGGTGACTGAGAAGGTAAGGGAGAGTATTGCAGCTTAACTGGCTCCAGTTTTCCTGTACCACAGTGATAGCAGGAAAACACACAGAACTGTTGTGATGTGGGGTAATTTAAGTTTCTGAGCCAAACCGAACTTAAATGATCATTTGTATGTCACAACTACGTTGAACAGTAACTTTTATAAGTGTTGCAAAGATGCTCCTCAGCATCTTCTGCCACTTTTTAGTGTAACCTCCTTCCCCTTTCACTACCAGCCTGTGGCTGAGCAGTCACTTACTTGGGTTCGTAGCGGATGCCATCGGTCCCGTGTAGAACACCGAGTCCTGCACGTAACCTTTCAATGCCATTCCTGGGCAAGAAAGCAATTACATAAAATATTTGTCATAACCCTCTGAATATGGCACGTGGTTCAGTCCCCACAAACAGAAGTTCTTGACTCTGATGTCAGCTTTTAAACAACATTATAGAAGCACATGCAAAGAGAAACAGCTCTTACCATGCAATCATTACACCGTTATCAGTGCACAGTCTTGGAGGAGGACACAGTAAAGCAAAATCATTTGCTTCTGCCAAATTCTGTAAACCTTTTCGGATATACTGATTACTTGCAACTCCTCCTGATACAACCTGACAGCAGTGACAAAAAAAGGCATTAACTCAAAAGTACTGATGGGTCACACTCAACTAGCATCCTGTTTAAAAAAGAGGTTATCAGTTCTGAAGACAGCAATAAATAATGCATTTGAAGATTAAAACATATCAGAAAAGAGTATGCTAAGTGAGCTTGTTATGCTAAAAGACATTCCTGAATAAAAGCATGTCAGTCTAGTGGAAGGAAGGTTGGAACTAGATGATTTTAAAGGGCCCTTCCAACCCAAATCAGTCTATGGTTCCACTGGAGCTACAACAGCCATCAGTACTGTGGAGCACAAGGTCAAACTATGTGGTCTAGGGTGTTATGGGAGGTTAAATTAGATGGTAAGAAAATACCTTTCTAGCTTAAAACCCAACTGTGAAAGACTTCATTGTAAATATTTATATCACTATTACTTCAATCCTGATATTTTAACAGTGTAATGCATACTGAGATCTTCCTCACCTGTCAAGGCAGGAAGTACAACAAGGCATCTGCATCTTCAAATGATGTTACATAGTCAAACAGAAAAAGGAAGAAGAAGCATACCCACCAAGGTTGCATTTTTTGGTGGCAAGATGCTGTTTTTGGTGCAGAACAGCATGGCCCGGTAGGTGCGCTGGATGATGTGAACAGCCACTGCGTGCTGGACGGCAGCAGCGACATCCCCAACGCAGGACAGGATCTCACCTTCCTCAATACCTACAAAAATGTATGGTCAAAGGGGTTTTCCTGAGTCTGGGTCTTCAAAACCATGGTTTATACCTGACTGTTTAAAAATACCTTCTTCTTTTTCTTTTTGTGCAATGGCATTATTGACGAGGTTCAGGAGTCCAGAGAAAGAGAAGTTGCAGTTCCGATACTGGTTCATGGGCAGTCGGAACATGAGCTGTTCCTGGTTTCCAGTCTGAGCCAAGTGCTCTATGGCCTGCCCCCCAGCCATGCTGTGGCACTCTGGGTGCTTTCTTAAAGACAGTCTTCTTGCCACCTGAGGAGAGAATAAACAACAGACTTGAAATCAGTTCCTCCTGTAACTGCACCACTGCATAGGAGTCCATGGAATAAATCCAGACACCACAAAATCCGTCCAATGTGAAATTACAAACAGGGCACAGTAAGCACAAGACATAACACCAGCTGGATTTTTTTTTCCTGGAGTATTTAGAAATGCAATTCTAGAACAATTTGGGCAAACAAATTTTGTAGGAAACATTAATTACTCCATTTTCAAGCTATAGGAAACACACACAGACTGCCATACTGTACTACCAGATACACAGGAATAAAGTTGGTTTCAACTTTATACAGTCCCCTTTCTGACTCTCCCAATTTTTTACTTAGTATGCACAAATACTGTTTAAAACTCTGTGTTTGAGAACAAAACTGTAAGTGACCAATTTTACAGACTGTACTCAGTGACCCAGAAACTTACAATTCTGAAAGCCAAACCATGCTTTTCAAACTGTAAGCAATAAAACTAGTGTGAAATGTTTTAATATGTATTGTTTTAAACCTGACAGCATCCTTTAAAATAGCACTGTCAGTCTTCTCAAATTCATACAACTTGTTTGTATAATCAGTGTCAATGAAACTTCCAACACCAGTTTCAGTTGTTAGGCTGCCTATTTACTAAAAGTATAATCAATGTACATATGTTACAATTGATGTTATGTGTACATTTTTAACAGACTCTTGTGTCTGTTCAAAATAGAAAAAAATCCTGTTAAGTGAAGCTCATATTACACTGAATTACTATCCTTGGGCTGATGATAATACTACCATTACGTAGTATAAATGCAATAAAAAAAAGGGAAAACTAGGTTTACTTATGTCAGGAAATGTTACCTTATCCAGCATGTCACCTGGTGCAATATCTATGGACTGTCCAAGTAGAAGGAAATCTGACACTCCTTGTGCTACTGCCAAGATACAGTGGCCTCCAGAGACCAAAAGAACCAAGAAGGGAAATTCCAGGTGATGTGTGAGCCTGACGGTCAGCGCGTGAGCCTCCATGTGATGGATGGGTATGAATGGCTTCTGGTGCCTGTTCACCAAGGCCAGGCTGTACTCCAGCCCCACCCCAAGGCTTAGAGCAAGTCCAGGTTTCACTGTAGTTGCAACAGCTGCAAGCTCAGGTACAGAAACACCACTGACACGAAGCGCCTCTTCTACCACTTGCTCGATGTTTTCTCTGTGAAGCTGCTGTGCCACCACAGGAATTATTCCACCTGTTCTAGTAAAACCAAAGAATTACAATCCATTGGTGTTTTATAACAGATAGAATGGCGTAAAAATAGTTTTCAAGCACCTCTTAACCTTGCCATATCCTGCCTGTCTCCTTAGTGGATTCTGAAATGCCTTGTTTAGTGTAAAGGGCACTGAAGAGAGCTAAATTATCACTAGGAGGTCAGAAAATGATGTAACCTGCCCTTTTTGATACAGGTACTTCTTAACTGCATCTCAACACTGTTCCAAAACAATGTAATATCGTATTCACAACCCCTTGCTTATTAGTTCAGGTTCTTAGCCACCAATGCTTATATTTATTTTCACTTAAAAACACTGAGACATTTGGTGGTCTTAACAGTAACAGCGATTTCATCTTTACTTCAAGCTAGAAAGGTAATCTGTCCCCCTCTGAAAGAAAATAATAGAAGAAACTTTTGAAATGCACATTTCTTTCTTCCCCCTTAGTACTATCTCAAGCAGTAAGTATCGTAGCCCAAGGGATATGTCTTCCCACCCACCTACCTCTTACTGATTTTTATGGAGCAGGGAAGACTTCTGTGAATGATATTGCAAGTAATAATAAAAAAAAAAAGTTACTAAGGCAAAAGCCTTCAGAGAAGTATATTCTTACTGTAAATGGACTTCCTTCTGACAGTGCAGGGCTTCTCCCAGGACACAGCCGGCATCATCCACCACAGCGGCACCCGTGTCGTCACAGCTCGTCTCTATTCCCAAAACCAGCCTCCGAGAGCACTGTTTTCCAGGGCGAGCTGAGCTGCTTCTCAGCCACGCAGCTTGGCCGTGTTTAACCGATTTCAAAAGGCTTTTGGCAATACTGTTCATTGTTAAAAATCTACCTGGCAGTTATGTCTAGAAGAGAACTGTACAGTTTATTATTACTGGAGGGTTTTCAAGCATGTGCGCTGCTCTGATTTTCTGAAGAGGTGGCATTACTTTTACCGTTATGAATGGCCACACATCATATTTAAGGTACTAAGAAAAAAACCATCTGGGAGCAGTCTTGTTTTACCTTAAAGAGGGCAGAGTTCCTCACCAAGCTGGTTGTGTGCGGTGCTTCTGGCAGCCCTACGGGCGGGACCGAGCCCCCGCAGCAGCACCGCCGTGTGTCCGCGCCGCTGCCCGGGCAGCTCTGAGCCCTCCGCCGCTCCAGGGCCACGGGCTCGCCCGATCCCCGGAGGATGCTCCTCCCGCCCGGCGGCACCCCCGTGTCACGGCGCCCCCGCACTGTCCCCTGTCGCGCCCTGTCGCCGCCGCCGCCCCCGCTCTCCCCGGCGCTCGGCTCCGCCCCGCCGGGTCACAGGGCGGCGCTTCCCGGGCACGGCGCAGCCGCCCAGCTGCGATTCCCTATTCCAAGGGTTTTGTCCGGCCGCCCGGAGGCATCCCCGCCCCCTGACCCGCGCTCCCTAAGGTCGGTCCGTGTCTTAAAGTCCCTGCCACTTGTACAAGGCAGCGACCGTCAAAGGCAGCACAGCCTTGTGATGGCCACTACTTAAAAATCAGTTACCGCTTCCTGTCCAAATAACGCAAAGAACTCGTTACTAAATTGCTAAAGAAAATTTGTAACTCGTTGCCATTTCTTCACAGTACCTTTATCGGTAAAGTAAATAACCAGAAAATTTCCTCAGCAAGAAAAGAAGTACGCCACTGTGGGCTTGTCTTTTTTTATTTTTATTTTTAATTTTTTTTTCCAGCTCACTGGCTGTCACTGCAACCAAAATGTAAATCAAGTCTTAAATGGAGTCTTCTGTTAAATCTGAGCCAGTTTTGGCTGTCAGACAAACAGCAGACTTCAAAATTCATCCTTTTTCCAAGACAGAGAAATAAGTGCTCAGAGCTGCAGATGTACCTTCTTCACTCTAATTCCAGAGCAGATTACATACAAGAATACCCCGTACTACACGGTACCCCTAAAACACAGCATTCCTCCACATTTCCAAGACATGCAAGTTATCTTTTTCTGCAAAAGCATACAGTTAGTCCATGTGATTTGCCTACTCACCTACTTCTAGTTCAGCTTCTATTCTAACTTACAACCCACCCAGTTTCCCTTATGTGCTCTGACACAGCTGTAACAGAGCTGCTTCTCCTACACCACCAGCAACTCTTTCCCGACCCCATCACAGGCCTCTCAGCTACTGAAAAAAACCCCATCAGCCAATATCAGAGAAAATAGTCAAAAGTCCACACCTAAAAAGAAATTCCAATTTTTCAGGATGTCCCTTTTACACATAGAAAAATCAGTGTCCTGCTAAGCAAAATGAAAATAACACAACAGCGGCAATTTTCCAAAGCATACATAAACCGAGCTATCAAGTTGATGTGGAAATCCCCTGAGCTGGCAGTTAAGGACTTTCTTCGGTCATTGTGACAAAAAAAAAAAACCAAATCACAAGAACAGAGAAGGCAGGAATTACACCATCAGTTTATGCTCACTGTCACAGTACTTACTGTGAGACAAACTTTTACAATGCAATAACAAGCACAACCACCTACAATCCATACAGCAGGAACTAGCTACTTTCACTTAACCTAAGAATGCAGCCTCACCAGTCCCTGGCATTGAGGATCCTGGATTCATATGTAAAGTTACCATCTGCATTATGGATAATGGGCATTTGTGAAACACTGCTCTCCATTTCAGCTGTTACGTGCACCTTTCTTTACAAATCACCTGCTCAGCCACATGTTGAGTCTTAGTGGGGATTAGGCTTTAGAGCTGGGCCTGCCCAGCTCTTCATGGAAATCTCTCTTCTACAGGTTTCCAATTCACATTTAAGTATTTGAAGGCAGCTTCTTATAAATTCGACTTTCATCCCAGACAATGCTGCAGGAAGCAGGAATTGCATCTCAGATGTAAAGGCATCTCTGACTGACTATGACGAGATACTGGGCACAGCAGACTACTGGTTTCCTTCACCCAGGGAGCAGCAGGAGCCATGTCAGGGGTGGCCAGTGTGGAACCTTCTCCTTAGTATTTATTGATGCCAAAGATCCGAACACCATGCAGCTGTGGCAGCTTGGGGATGAGCACGGTCAGGAGAGAGGCTGTGTTCAGGATAAAGTGTGTTGGATCATACTTGGTGTAGAAACTCGTCAGGAAGTACCTGCAGGAGAAAAAGGAGCAAGCTTAGCTGATGGCACCCTGGTCTAAAAAATAAACAAACAAAGCAGAGTTGAAAAAAGTGCACTAGTAATCAGTAAGATTTTACTGATCTATTCCTGTATTAAATATCTCACCTGAGGTTCTAGAATATCTACAGCAAAATTATGGTCTAAGTCTCTTCTTCCCATACTTCTCAAGGTGTTAAAAAGCAACTCACCACTTATTTTCCTCCCCCACCTCTCCCTGCCCATTTGAGTCTGACTTCTGCAGCTACAAGTCTGATTTATGATTCAGATTTTAAATAGTGTAAGATCTGCTACCAAAATATTTGCAGTTCTGCTACCCTAGCAAACTCAGTGACAAAGCATTCGACATTTTTCAGTGCAAAAATTATTTATGCTGAGCACACCTGTGACTGGCGTGATTTTAAAGTGCTTCCCATCTGACAGATGTTTCCAGCACATTTTTCTTTAAAGCTGGTTCACAACCTGTTCATCTAGAATAAGGAAATATGCCTCAGAAAACCCAATTCACTACCAACTGCTTTGAGCCTGTAATTTCATCCTCATCATAGAAATGAGGCAATCAGATTATTGGGGTTTGGGGTTTTTTTCCCCAGCAAAACAGAGATGTTATTCAGCTACTTACACATTATTAGTGCATCAAGAGAACCATACACTAGTGTTATGAATACAAAACTCCTGCTGCAAAGTAGGGACCTAGCCTTGAAAATTTTTTTTGAGGAATTACATATATTTTTTTCAGTTTTTATCCTTTATGGACCAACTCTCTAAACATTACGCAGGATCGTGCCTCCCCCCCTCACTCTGCCATGCAAGTGGACAACTTTCTTTAGGGAAAAACAGAAAGACTTTTAGAGTTGGACATTTAATACATATCTGATTTCCTTTAGTTACTCAACCCTACTTTTGTTAACAGTGTGTAGAATTTCTAAGCCATTTACAGAACTAGTGTAAACAGAAGACAGTAGGTACAAAGCCAAACTGACACCGGACCCCATGCAGTGAGGACTGACACACTCCTCCAAACTCAGAAGTTGCAAAATGGTTAATAAATGCTGTTACAAAGACAGCTGGTTAAGATTTTCAATATTCATGACTTCACAATCTCTTAAAGAACTTCAAGAGTTACCAGTAAGTTTTCCTCACAACATTTCTAATCTTTAAAACCTGCCCCATAACTGTTTACAAACTTTGACTTCAATATGTGGAATGTCAAAAGCAGCAGGAAGAAAGATTGTTGATCACATGGCCTATAAATATGTACTCCCTACCTCTGTGATGCAGAAGTAAATTAACAAACAATTAAGCAAGAAAAGAGAGAAAATGCTTTCAGAATATGAATTGCAACCCATTATGTTGCAAATCATGGTTTTATGATTCAATTCATCCATAATACGGTTTTGAACTCACAGAATTATAGGAGAGATTGTGAAGAACTTTCTTGAAGATGTGAACTGTACTCCATAATCCAGTTGTTCCCAGTGTGTTAGTAGCCTAGCTTTCCCCTGATCAGGTGTTTCAAAAGGAGTTCCCTTTACTGCATGCAAAAACACATACATTCCCTGGGGAAAATAAAAAGTGAATACAGAGGCACTTTTAGTATATTTTTTTATAATTCTTACATTGTTCAATGCATTGTAAAAAAAAGAATATACGTGAATTCTCACCCAGAAGAGCTGCTGGCCTGTAACAAAATTATTGAGGAGCAAGGAAGGGACAAGAAGTGATTTGCCCAAGACTGTGCAGTGAGTGGCACAGTCAGAGTTAAAGCCAAAGTCTGTGTGACATCTGATCCACTCCCTTGTCCTCTATGTTAGATGGCAAAACTTCCATGAAATCAGTAGAATTTTAACAAGCACTGTAACAAGTTTGGGGTGGCTTATTTATATTACCACAGCGTTAAATGAGTGATGAGGTAGAGTCTGCACAAAGCAAACATCTACCTACGAATACTGGCAATATTACAAGACCTTCAGAAAGCCTTCTCAGCCCCCCACCACTTTCAAATCTCTAGAAGCTGACTACAGCAATCTGTTGAATACCATCTGTCCACCTCTTTGCTGCCTCTCCTTAACCACTCTGGACTTTCTACGTTCCTGTTCCTGTTTGATGGGATCATGCCATGCCTGGTCTGATCTGAAAGATCACTTTGGGCCTGGTTTCACACAGGGGAGTACGCCCTTTTCCAGTTCTAAAAAACATCTGTTTTCTATCAAAGAGAGCACACCAACTCCAAGCAAGACACTCTAACAGAAAATATCACAGACTGCCTTATACACATACAAAAAATTTTATAGAAAGCTTTATACAGAAACAAGATCACATGGAGGTGAAATTTCAGCAAGTCACTTCATGTGTCATTCCACTTTTTTTTGGAACAGCCTCCAGAATAGAGGCCTATGAACCTAAGACGACTGATTTGTTTAATTAATTTTTGGATTCCTGATGTTTGCACTGTCTCCATTTTAATAACCAAAAAGAGGCTTTTAGGACAGTTCCAAATGCTTACTACACATTTTATTTCACGCTGGTACTTGCAGAAAGGACCACCAAAAATGCTTTCAAGGTAAACTAAGAGTTTTCCATTAGTGGAAATACAAGATTTTTTTTTCTTTGTCAAACCATTCAAGGATTTGTTTCCAAAAGAAGTGCCATTTAAACGCTGAAATATCCAAAAAGTGCAATTTATACTTATCTTCTAGTGTTCCACTACCAAACTACTTGTCAGTGCATGCTCTCATCCCTGTTGTCATTACAGCTACTTGCAATGAATTCATTAAAGCATGTGGGAAATATTTAGTAATACTTTTCTCTGCCAACATCTTAAATGTCTGACATGTCTGATGGTGTCACAGATAACATACAAAATGCTCTAATGACACTTACAATTCCACCACTAGTTTTAAACCTATCTACAAAAAGCTCAACTAAAAAATTAAAATTTTACATGACTCAAGAGGATATTATCCATCCTCAGTCTTTACAGTGAACTATTACTGTTGTAAATGAGGAAGGAACTATCTTTTTGTCAAGACTTCTTTGCTGTTAATCTGAGAAAGCTGAGTTAGCAAACCTCAAGTATGATGTAAATTGCTGGATTATGGCCCTCTTTTCTCTAAGCCCAGAGGACCAATATACAGAGTTGCATTACTTTAAGTGATTATAACAAAATGGAGAAAGGAGCAGAAAGATTCTCAAGATCTTCAGCTTCCAAAATCTTTTGCATACAAAAGTCATCATGCAAATCATGATCCACTGAATAACAAATGGTTTCAGGGCTTGGGTCAAAGTAGTCCAGTTTTTCCCACTGCTGTCAAACAAGATTTCTCTTATGTCAAATATAGTTATAACCTTGTATGCTGAAGTCATTCTGAGCTACAGTTTACCTAGCTTGGCCAGAAATCAAAGCTAGAAGAAGCAGAACACAACTATTTCTGTCCAAGAAAAGAGGTAAGGTGCTGAAAGTAAACATTTTGGAATACTATCAGATTTAGGTAGAAAAATCAATAGATAATACCCAAGAATTAAAAATGTGATGTTTTATTGATTCAGCCCAGCTCTCTAATAATATACAGAACACTGTAAAAGTTGGTCGGCACGATGACTTTATGTTTGCAACCTTCTAGCTTAATTAAATGCCTTTCAAAAGAATACATAACTAAGGAATATTTCACGTCTTTCATGCCTAAATCAAAAGTGATCAACTATCACTCCTCTGTTCCCAAACAGCCAATTATCTGTGGATAAGCCAAGCAGAGGCGCTGTTTGGGCCAGCAGGATTTCATTATCCACACAGACTGCCTAATATCCTCTTCCCTAGGTACTGAAAACGAATACACATGAACAACTTCTCAAATTCTGTTGCACCAACGAGTGGTTACTTACCAGGTTGTGAATCACATTTGTTAAAGTCCAGGCAACAGGGACACTAAAGAAGGGAATGCTGAGCAGGACAATGTGCAGCATGCCCACTCCGAGCGCGTATGTCAGCCACATTCCACGGCTGTTCATCACCCGAGTGTTTGGATTCACCTCGCTGTGGGCAACTCCTACGTTCATTTTTACCCTACAAAACAGATCTGTTTGAAGATTGAGGCTGCTGTTACAGAGGAGTACTTAACATATGCCATTTTCAAATGTGGGAATAGGCTGTTTTAAATGATCAGGTCTGGAAAGAACACAGTGCATAAACCAAGATGTACCTCAAACTCTATGCTTCATACAGAAGTCAATGCAAAGGGGCAGTTAGGAACTGTTTGTTAAAAAAAAGAGCAAACAAATAAAACTTACAAGCCTGTTACAAAGGAACGTTTAAAAAAAATTGTAAGCTGTGCTGTTAGAGGCTGAAGTTGCAAACCTGCAAGAAACCAAGCTTATAACTTTCATCTTCTGAATTAGTTTCTCCATCCGTGACAATATCCAGAGTTGTTCTCCACTTCCCATATCAATTTTCCTCCTGTTTCTTGTTCATGTAATGGTTAGTAAAGAATTCTGCATATACCAGTTGCCCAGCCACCTACTGCTAGAAAGAACAACCAAGGACTAATTCATGCCTATTTTTCTTGCAGTAGAGTGCAGATTTCACATATTCCTCCCTCACCCATCTGTTATTTTTCAGACAGACATTTCCATCTTTCAAATGTGGCTGAAATCAGAGCACGGGTTCAAAAGTTTCTAAGCAACAGACACATGCAGACACACAGAACAACTTCATATGCTGATTTAGTAAAAAAATTGACAGAACTTAGGGATGGTGACACTCTCATCCTGTTGTAGTAAAATTTGTAACGATAATTTTAAAAAACCCAAACAAAACCATTGCTTACTTCATCCTCACATGATCTGTAGGACTATGTATATTCCTTTATGGGGCTGGGAAGGAGATATGTATTAACATTCATCCGAATCAGACTACAAAAGCACCGTTTAACCAGCAAAAGCAGCTTGCTTTTGGTAGGAAGTTTGTTTCTGACACCGGCTCAGTGCTGCAGAGAGTATAAAATAAACACAAAATACCCGAGTATTTCGCAGTATTAACCGCGGTAGAATAAAACCAGACGCGATGAACCCGAAAGCGAGCCGGGCGGTGCCGACATTAATCAATCCTTGTCGCAGGGCATTCGAACCGTGCGGGGGACACGTTACCTGGGATGGGCGACGCGAGGCCCTTCCTCCCTCCTGGGGATGCAGCGCCCGCCGAGCTCGTACCTAGAGAGACATCCTGGCGTGACCCACCGTCCCTTCCCATTTCCCCTCACCATTCCCGCCCGACCCGAGGGGCAGCTCGGCTGTTTTCCCTGCCATCGCTCCCCTCCCGGCCCGCCGCTGCCCCGCCCGGCCGTGCCCGTGCCTTCTCGGCGGCCCCGGCGCGCGTCCCTCCCTCCGCCCCCCGGCGGCCCCACCTTTCCGCAGCCCCGCGGAGCCGGAGCGGAGCGCGGGGCGCCGGGCGCAGGTAGAGCCCGCGGTGCCCTGGGCAGGGCCGGCCGGGGGCAGCGCAGGGGCCGGGCCAGGCCGCCCGCACCGCCCACGGCAGCGGCAGCGGGGCGGGCGCGCAGGTGGCGCAGCCGCGGGGCCGCCCGGGACGGCGGGGAAGCGCCGCCGCCCCCCGAGGCTGAGCCGGCCTGGGCCGAGGCCGCGCCAGGCCCCGGGAGCGGCGAGCGCCGGGTGGGAGCGGCCCCGCCTCTCGCAGCGAGAACCAGGAACTGCGGACGGCTCGTGTGGTTTGGGGTAAACTCGAGAGACCGCAGGGTTTGTCTGCAGCTTGTTGCCTTCCCACCCCCGTAAACCAGAGAGTTGCCTCGGTTGCTGGACCCCTGAGGAAGGCGGCTGTGTGAGGGGGCGGTCTGGGTGCAGCTCCAGACGTCTGTGGGGCGGGAGCCATGGAGTGTATGGAGGTTTTGTTCCCGGTTTTCCTGAGGGTGTGCAGCACCGCGGCTGTCGCTGGGGTGCCGCACTCGGTGCGAAGGGGTACAAGGGCTGCATCAGTGGTGGGGCCCACACACAGAAAATACGGAACCTGCCCACGGGTCACAGTGGTAACGTGTCGGTCGGTGGGAAGTACAGGAGCAGTGTGGCTTGAGCTGAAATGTGTGTCTCTTAGCTAAGTCATCGGAGGTTGGATGCATTTCCATGGGTGGGAAGGCCCCAGTGGTCCCTCCCTCACAGCAGCTGTTCCCGAGATGTGCCCAGCGCTGCATCCCTGGGTTTGGGCCCAGGAAAGGGAGGGCACACGAGAACGGGTTCCTCTCCCAAACTGCCTGCATCAGGCACACCTCATGGAAAATTTGTCGTTGGCATCTGCAGCGTTTCTGTTTTAATACCCTCCCGTGTCTTAGTCAGTGTGGTTTCATGGAGATATCCAGCTCCCATCTGGCAATTGTCATGAGCAAATCATGAAGCACTTGACACAGAAGTCCTGTACGATGTGTGAATGCGTGAGGGAACCTGCCTCAAAACCTGCCTCTCTGAACACATGTACAGAATTAATATTGGTCCGTCTTCAACAACACATGTCTTCTCATGCTCTTTTTCCAGTTTGTGGAAAACCAATTTGTTGGATCTTTTTACCACATACGAAAGGAAAACTTCCTTTGCAATGTAAATAGCAATATTAAGAGAAAACCTCTTTGTAGCTGTTCTTAGAAAAGTTTTAATGGTGCTTCCTCTTCATGGCACTGGTTTGCTTTTTTTTCCTCTCTAAGTAACCACATTTTTGCCTTGTCTTTTATGTTTGAAGAGTGTCAGTCTTTAGAAGGATGTTGAGGCAGAGAAGTGTCCTGTAATTGTTGTATCAGCTGCATATACCCTGCAGGGTAGTGGTGCCCAGGGGTGTTGGCTGCAATCCCTCACCATGTCCTGACTGTGTCAGGAGGAAATCTGAGTATGTTCCATTCCTCCACCTCTGCTCATATCCTTGGGATGGGTGCTGAGTGTGCGTTCTGTGTTCTTCAGCATGTACCTTGGACTGAATTGATGGGGAAGCCAGGACTGCCAGGATAACAGCGTAAATAACATTACATAACATAACCTAGAGGAGAGAAGAAGCCTGTTTGGACCATTCTTGAGGTTCAAAGAACTGTCTAGCAAGGATCTTCCCCCCCCTCTTTCTCATATGCATGAAAAACTGCGGCTGAGTTCTCTGTGTCAGGCTACAAGGATCAACAACAAGGATCGGGCTTGGTTAATTGTGTTGATTTGGGTGCTTAAACAGAAATATATACTAAAATTCAGAGATCCACTTATGATCTCTTCATGTTAGAGTGTCTCTATAATACAGCAAGAATTTTATAACCCTTTGGGTTCCAGTAATTAAAAAAAAAGAAATCTCCACTGGTTGATAATGTGAGAGATAGAAAAGAGTGACACAGAAATAAACTGACCTGCCTGAGGACACATGGTACATCAGATCAGAGAGGCAGGGTTGTAATTAAGAAGTTTTTTGGTTTGGTTTTTGTTTTTACTAGTAGATCACATTGCCATTGGATATGACTTTCCCCTCAGCACCACTTTGTTGCCTCCCCACTTCTTTCCTGACACTTACTGACTGCAGACAAAGCTGGGACCTACTATAACATGAAAATTTTACTCTCCAACCATAATGTTGTGGTTTGTCAACATTTACAAGTTGCTGTGAAATGGCTACTTAGAAATGTGTATTTGTAGTATTCCTGTTACACTCTTTTTCTTTTATTTTCTGTGCAGCTTCTCTGAATCTTATTCCACTATGAAGCAGCTGCCAGGAGAGACTATTCGTCTCCTTTCAAGTTCTCAGGTGATTACTTCAGTTGTCAGTGTGGTGAAGGAGCTGATAGAAAATTCCTTGGATGCCGGTGCCACAAGTATTGATGTTAAACTGGTAAATCCCCTTTCTTTCTCTTACAAAGAATTGGATGTAGAACAAGATGCAAGGAAAGTTGTTCCACTGCAAATGCATTTTTTAGGCCATTGTGATTTGGGGAATGACAAGGTATTAATAGTATTTATACATATATGTTTTTACCTCATGTAAAAATGATCCAAAATTAGTTTCCATTAATGTTTTTCAGGCCCTGCTGAAACAATAGAGCATATTTCTACTTCTGAGTGTATCTTAGGGAAAAACCTGTCAACTTCCTTAATATTTGTTTTCCTACTTAAAATTTAATTTTTGTGACTAATAGGTAGTTTTAAAAGATATTGAACTTAAGTTTACTGCTAGACTGACATATGTAATGCTCATTACAAAATATTGTAAGGAAGGTGAAAATGGAAACAGTGGAAAAGGTTGATGGCCATGCTAGAGTTTTTTGTAATATAAATTACCACATGGTCCCTAAATTAGCATGGTTAGCTCTTGCTACTTCTAGCACTTCCTTTTTATAAGTTGTTAAAAAAAGTTGGCATGTCACTGAAGGATAGTTTCTGACAATAGAAAATCTTACTTATAATAAAGAATTTGATTTTTTTCCCAAATGGGGCAAAATGGCCAACTGATCAGCTATTCTTGCTGTCATATCTCTGTTTTGGAGTGTTTTGTCAACAGCTGTATAGTAGCAGTGTCTCCTGCTTAGTAAGAGAGAAGTGTTGTAGCATCCTGTATAAATGGATGTATCCAGAACTCCATCCAATTTCCTTCAGTGCAAATAATTGTATAAGATATTATTGAATTAAGTGTTAGACAAGTGCTTTTCATTAGGAGGGCAATTCGGTTTCTGCTTGTTTCTTTGTCCATGTCTCTTCTACCTTTTTTGAATGAGTCTTGAGTGTCTTCCATCTGAGAATGGTTTCCTGCAGATGCTGAGAAACAGGCTTGTTTGCTACTGCTTCAAGTGAGCTGAAGTTACTCTGTCTTCGCTGTGCTCTGTCATGACCTCTATCTTCTCCCAATATTTAGATTTCATAGAATCTTGCTCATGAGTAGCCCCAAAGTGAGTAGTGTGTGCACAGTTATGGGAGTCAGGGTGTTGGAATCAGATCCTGTGATCTGATTGATTGATTTGACATTGATCAGGCAGTAACTGCAAGAAGTCAACAGAGGAGGTTTTGGAGCCTTCCAAAATGGGTAAAACAGACCTTGTCTCTTGTGCTGGTGTGCTGTTACAGATGTGCATTTAGCTGGAGGAGAAAGCTTCTCTCTAATCAGTGTGGCTTTCACGGCACAGCAACCACCTGTTTTCATAGTGATAAGTCCCAAATCAATTAAAGACAGCGTTTTCAACCATTTTCAGTGCATGAGTCATCTGCATAGCTACATTCTTTGTCAGTCGAGCCCAGTCCAAATCAGTGTAGTTCTAAAGAAACAAACCTGGCTTTACACAGGTTGTCAGTGAGTGAAAGAGATTTGCTGATTGTTCTTCTGTGGATACTAGGGGAGAAGCAAAATCCTGCACTCTCTGCAACTCTAGACAGTAATACTGTGAAAGAATGAATTTTTTTCTCGGTATTCTTTTATGTGAAATTTAAATAATTCTGACTGTGTAATAGAGGTCAGTGACCACATTAACTCTGGATTAGTTCAAAGTCATAACAGAGAAGAGAAACTTTGAAATTCCATTTTACAGCTTGATGGCTTTTGCGAAACTGCAGCATTTTCATTGATTTAACCTTTTTCAGATGGATTAGGAAGGCTAGTTGATTCCTTCAGTCTTCTTACCCAATTTGCCTGAACAAATATAGGAATGACTTTTGAGACAAACAGGCAGGAGTTAACTTGCAGATGGAATGGTTCTCAGATAGAAACCATGGCAGTGGTCAGCTGTAGTGGGAAGCTTTGGCTGGTGTTTTATTGTTGTTACCTTCTTGATTGACCAAATCCCATAGGTGATGTTATTGAGTGTCTTTGCACTGTGTATCAACATGAATCATACTGTTTGACATCAGTGATCTGGCAGAGCAACCTAAACATCTCATAGGATCATAACCTCAGTAGTATTTAGGTCATGGAGGAAGGTGTTGCAGAATACAGAGTTTGAGCACTGTAATATTTACGTAAAACGTGTGCAACTGAAAATTAATAACATTAGAAAAGAAATAGAGAATCATTCATGTTTCCAAACCACAATGTATGAATTACATTATTTGATTAGAGAAACCATCACTATTATCCTGCATGTTGTATTTTTCTTTTTTTTTTCCTTAAACAAGAGACATTTAATGTTTGCTCCCACTAAGCAAAACTCCTGCTTCTGTGTGGATGGCTGGAAGGTGTAACCTTGGCTGCTTCAAACTTGTGTCTTAATTCGATTGCTTTAATGCTCCACTCTGTTTTGTTCTCTTTTCAGGACAATTACGGGTTTAACAAAATAGAAGTAAGAGACAATGGCAGTGGAATCAAGGTTGAGGACGTTCCTGTTATGGCCATTAAACACTACACCTCAAAAATAAGCTCTTCTGAGGACCTTGAGAGGCTGACAACCTACGGTTTCCGTGGGGAAGCTTTGGGATCCATTTGCAGCATAGCGGAGGTGAGCGGTTGCTATAAATGTGTCTGGTCTCTGAGTTATGATT